CAAACTGCATCCTTCCTGCAGGAGGCCAGAGCGCATAGGACAAACCTCTATTGACGCGGTGGGAGCTATGTCAGCTTAGACGAAACGAATCATGTTTACAGTCCCTTCCATGGCCGACACATCTCTCACCGAAATAAAGCATGTTCAACAGCCTTTAGACCAGCTCCGAATTGCTCGCTTTCGGTTTTGAGGCCTATTCTTGTCATACCCCTTGCGGCTTTCCGTCTATTTTTTCAATTTCACGCACTCCTCTTGAACTCTTGCTTGGCTTGAAGAAGCAATTTTGGTTGTTCTGGAGGCCTCTCCAGAGCTGCTGGTCTTCAGCCCCTTGCAGCGCGCCAAGAGGACGGCGGAGGTGCTCTTCGGCGAGGAGGCGCACGAGGGGCTCAAGAGGATCTGAAGTGTTACTGTTAGTAAATGTTAATCTGTACCGGCTTGGTTTGGGTGGATTTCATGGCATTCCCATTTTGGAAAAAGGCACCAACCAAAAACCACCAAAAACACAGAAACACCGGGATCCTCGGAGACTTTTTGTTGAGTAGATCAGATAGATGCAGGGGGTGTCAGCAAGCGCAGCCCCCGAGTCAGGACACGAATGACTCAGGTAGACATGAGGATAGCACAGACTCCACAGGCTCAGGCAAGAATGCGGAATTGTTCATTGGTATGAATTCAGGATCAACGTGAACAAGCCTCCAAAGATCTTCAAAGCTTGGGAATGTAGGAAGAATCAGTTGCACGATCCGGCACCCCACCGATTCTGCTTCACTTGTACTCTTCTGACCAAAAGCTGGTCATGTTCGTGTCGTTGGCGCCCGCATGCCAACCCCCGGCATCAGGTTCCCAAGGAGGCCCGGGAGTCCTTGGCAGCGAAGCTGTGATGTATTCCAGCTATCCAGTGATTAAGGATGAGTGAAAGATGGTTGATTGATCTTGTAACCATGTTTCAAAAGGTTTCAATAAGATGTCACTATGCATTGATGATTAGATGTTTGATGGCTCCAGTTTGTAGGACGGCGCAGAAGTGGCGCAGATGGGATTCTTAGAAGTCCACGAGTTTACCAGAAATCGTCCACATCATTGCTGGCGATGTGTCATTAGTCACTTTCATTTCTGTGCGAGTGCAAGATGGTCTTTGCGACTGCAGGCCATGAAGAGCTTAGTCGAGCGCACCCCATACGAGGCATTTTGTGCCTTTTCAGACAATGTCGCACGGTGTTGGGGAGTTCAAAGATTCTCATCGATGATTGAACAGCACCATGTATTGGGCCATGGGCACCCGCGATGGTGGGTTGCAGTGGCTAGGATTTGCCAAGCCGTAGCAAATCAATGGTTGTTCATGTCCACCTGATGGCAGTCACTGACCAAAAAAACCGCACGTGTTCCTCATCCAACTCCACTCCAGCTCACTAACATGGAAGTGGATTGCATGACGCCTGGCAAGGCGAGTTTCCGCTACAAAGAAGCATTTTTTGGCCTCCGCTTTATGCATGCGTTCATTAGAGTGTAGTCCAAACATCCATACTGGCTGGGAGCGGCATTCTCAACTTCTGCTGATCAGGCAAACATGGCAGTTCCATGGTATTGCTTCCGAAGTGGAAAAGACATCCCAAAGGCGAGAAAAGGCTTCCTGTGGCAGGAGACGTCCTTTTCTTTGATCCTAACTTTTGTCGACCAACGTCTGGCCTTTGGTGTCGACCCGCCGGGGAACGTGCCTCGCCTGGACGTGCTTGTGCCTTGTCGCCTGGACAACCAAGGCTCTGAACAATTTCAAGAGCGCCTCCTGGGTTTCAAGGATGGCGTCGTGGGGGGTTTCAGATGCGAGCACTGAGACGCCAGGGAGTTTGGGGCTGAAGTTTTTGAATACACTAGGTAAACATATGTAAACATATAAGTTAGCTAATGGACGCAGGGGTGCAAAATTCCAGAATATTATCAGCAGTGCATGTTGGACTCTTGGACGGTGTGATTTGGATTTGCATCATTTGTACGAATGCACACCCGAGTAGTTGCAGAATCAACAGAGTCCAGACAAAAGTCCTTCACCTTTTCTCCTGCTTTAGGGACTTTCATGTCACAGCATCACCTGCCAGTCACAGCAGAGCAGTGACAGGACTGGCTGGCCAAGATCCCACAGAATCGCGTGGTGGTGGTGTCTCGGACTGATGGATGCCCGAGACGAGACGGTTCTCCTCCCCCGGCGGCTCCGCGGCGGGTCCCAAGATGCTGGGACTTTGGATGTTCATCTCGAATCCTCTGAACATCTGCAGGTTTGACAGGAAGGTTATTGTTATATATATATATAAATAATATTTTATACATAATCCTGTTATATGTTCATGCTTCTTCGTGTTATATAACAGGATTGACACTCACAGGTGTGTGTGCTATTCCATGGAATGCCAACCCATGGACCACCTTCTCGCGTAGGAGCTGTTTGTAATGAGAGGATGTTTCGGTTTGCCCCTTTTGCCACACAGGACATGATCACCTGTCCTGCTAAGTTTCTACTGACTCGCCCGCTGAAGTCTGAATCCTGAAGCTGGGCTGGTAGTGATAGTGAGAGCCATGTAGCGAGTTGGACTGTTCCCAGGTGGCTCACTGTCAGTTCTTTGCAAAGCTCTTGGGAAAAGGCAGGGAGCTGCCTTACAGGTTTGGGCTCCTGGTGCGGCCAAAGAAAGCCCCCCTGGTCATTTGGCAACCTGAAGAAGTTCAATGATTCCCCAAAACCTGTTAGGGGTATACCTTTCTTGGCTTGCTGAAGTCTACCTGATGAAAAGACTTGCCAGTGGGAAGTGGATCTCGCTTGATGGGCACTGATTCCATCACGACATCTTGAACTACTTGACTACCTCTTGGATCCGCTTGGCGGGTGCTCGGACGTCAATGCCAAAGGTGTCCCACGATCCGGACGGAAACACACCTCGTTTCCGTGGCTTCTCCCGGTCCGCCCCAATGCCGAACGCTCGTTTCACCATCGCCGTTTCACCACGGCCAGGCTGCGGGATGGAGCGGTATCTCAGCAACACCGAGGTCAAGCGCTGCATCTTCGACCCCGAAATCGGCGTTCCTCGGACGCGGACGCGGAGACGGAAGACGCGAAAGGGGTCTGAAGACCGGGGTCGGCTTAGACAGACGGAAGGTTTTGTTCGGCAATTGGAGGGTTCCTGAGATCATAGGCTTTTGATGGTTCTTGGGTGGTGCTTTCTGATGGAGCAACCAAAGATAGGACCCTTCTGCAGTGGCGCGCTTTTTCTTGGCGCATCAAAGGCAAAAGTAACCGCCTGTCTGGGCTACTACTAGAAGAAATCAACCTGCTCAAAGTAATTACTGTGTCGAAGGGGGTGGCACAGCTATCTCCACCGAACCTGGTAGCAGATCACCATCTTCTCTGGGAACTCTGGAGCTCGTGGCCAACAACCCAAGCCATCCACGGGCCGAACGCCAGTGAGGTCTTTGAGGATGTGGTCTCGCTCTTCGAACCAGATGAACATAGTAGCGGCGAGGAAATGTAGTGCCAGCATTCAGCGACCATGGGAGGCTCATGATACATATAAAATTGAATCTATATTGAAAACAGTCATAATTACTTATAGATTCAATACCATGTATTATTCATGATATACACATAATTAATAGCATGATATTATCACTATTGAATCTCATAGTGGACTAGTTGGATTACTTACCCATGTTTCATCATATGTTCTATGTATTTGATCTTGAGTTGATCGCAGCAATGCTGGCTCCTAGGGAGAAGATAATGGTCTTCCAATTGTTTTCCAATGACTGGCTGGGCTTATGGCGACAATCATTTGGCATTAATTAATACCGAGTTTGTGTGGACTCTCATGAGATTCACAGTTAAGACAACAGCCCGAACTTCGTGAACAAGAGGGGTTTGAATTCTAGAGCTCTGCAATATACCTGGTGATCCTCACAGAATCATGCGACAAAGATAGGAACTCATTAAAATCTGTCCAAGTTCACACGAACTTCTACACCGTGTCATTTGTAAGCTTCTTTTTTGTGAACTGTGAAGTAGTCAGCAAAGTCTCAGTCCCTCAACAGTGGCACCTGGCCATAATGCTTGGGTTTGGAAGACGAAGAACTCGTGAATTTGAGTGATGAGACTTCGCAGCACACCTGAAGAAGTCTTCGTTTGACCTGTTTTTGGATGGCACCTCGTCGAATGAAAAGTCGTTCCTCTTAAAGCCAGCCAATAGCTGCAACCAGAAGTGTTGATGCAGGGAAGGGTGGCTGGTCAAGCTTATGACCGGACAGATTCGGTTTGACATTTCACTCTCCCTGGCACCGTGCGAGGGGTGCACCTTCTTGGGCGCCTTCGGGCGATGAAGGCCAGCCACCAGAGATGTTTCTGTGCCGGTCGCCGGTGTTCAACAAGGACACCGGTGACGGTGGCCTCATTTCTGCCCTGTCTGAGATGAGATTTCTGGGGTGATTCAGAAGAGCCCACCGTTCAGTGCCTCCAATGGCATGCGAACTCGCCTCGGCACACGACCGTGAGAAGCACCTGTCTGGATGTGCCACTGGACACCGACCGTGTGGCCTGTGTGGCATCGCGAATCGGATGGCGACCCGGCCAACAGAGCCAGGAATCCGACGCCTGCAATGATTTCTTGCCATCCAAGCGCACAATCAGCCTGCACTGGTGTTTCCAAATTGAGATGTATGACATGTATGCCAGTGGGCAAATGGTCCCCATTTTGGTGGAAGATGGTGGAAGTGGCCTCACCTGTAGCAAACCAACACACACAACACACACCAACTGGGTGTGGCAAAGTAAGACCCCCAAAGCCGAGGACCCGCAGGGATTAATGGCATATTATTTGTCCCTTTGTTTTTCCTTTTTCTAGTCATATAGGCTGATATGACCTTGAACTCAATTAAATTCACTTGATATCAGGCTACCCAGTTGGGTCTTTTGGGGTGACTGACGGAGTCCCGAGTCCACGGCCATGCCATGCTCGCGTTCGCAGGCGATTGCTGGTGGGAAGAAGTCGTTGCCCAAGTGGCACTCGAAACTCCCCTCGGTGCAACCACGGGAGGACACAAACGACGGACACTCTCGTGGTTGAGGTTCAACTCAGCCAAGATGAGACGGTCTCAGTTGGGAAGGTTTTGAAGTGGGAGACTCTCTTTACAAAGAGGTAATCTGAAGCAGAGAAGGAGCAAGCAGGACGAAGATCGGTGTAGCCTCCTAGAAACATCGAAGCAGTGTGATGCATGTCGGACCACAGCAGGACGTCTTTTCCAATCCTTTGCTTCGTCCGGCTTCAGCCAAAACGGCTCGAAAAACACGCATTGCCTGAAACATCATCTCGCGCAGCATGCAGTCCCCGATGTCGCCTGTGTCCGTGCCAAGCACGCAGAGCAAGGACCTGGAGGCAATGTGGAACTTCAGCACTGCCGACTTGTGTGCAAACGTGACATTTGGTAGTTAGATAGATGCACAACATGTGGTTTTGATCATGTGCAGTGTGGTGGGTGTTGTCTCACATGTGGTTGCCTGTCCTAGTCAACCTTAGCTTTCGAGCATCATACTTAATCCTGACTACTTTGCTGTGGATTTCGTGCACGTCTTGCAACCATCCATGCTTCCTCACGAGGATGTGAAGCTTCCTCACGAAGAACTCCGTAGTGTTTCTCGACTAAGCTGGGTGGCCAGTGATTGACCATGTTTGGAGGGGTGCCTTCAGCAAGCTGCAAGGCTTGGTGATGCCATCTGGCCACATCCCCCTTTTCTTGGGCGTGCCAACACGCGGGAGAACACCTTGTAAAGATCATTCCATGGTTCACATCATGCCAGTGTTTGCGGGGAGGACTTCCCATCCTTTTGTATTGGGTTTTCACATGTTTTCACCATGTATCCTGCATTTGATCTGTCGGTTTCCAGTCGTTCACTCAATTTGAGGTTCCCGGTCTTTGGGCCGCGGGCATGTCACGTCCGGATTTTCTCTTTGGGCTGCGGCGTGCAATACAGTGATCAGTGATCACTCTGGAGCCAATATAGCTCCTGACTCCTACCTTTGAAGCAGCATTTGATACAATGTTGGAAAGAGTGCCACTACACTGACATCGCATGTGTTTGGAGTCCTGGATATGGTCCAAATTTGTTTTTGGATGTCGGCAACACGAGGTCTATGGTGCTTGATCCGGGAGAGTTTGCCGTTGCCAGTCTTTTCACACACCAGGCGACACTTTTCTTTCGGTTGCATTGCCAGATCCAACTTGTTTGGTGACCTTGGGAAAAAAGCGCACGCTCCATTGATGTGACCCTCCGATAGTTCCCATCAATCACTGTTGATGCTGCGTATGAGTGCATCAATCACTTTCCATATCGTGCAAGTCCAATGCATTGGGTTTCTTTGGGACGGGCATGGGGGCACTCACCCCAAGCCTACATGGCTACTCATCAAAAAGATCCACGTGCTCTTGGGGACCAATGAATGTTGACCGTGTTGATTGTCCTCACCTCGTCACAGAGAGGCACCAGAATCAGCAGGGGTCCATTCCGAATTGAGAGTTTCGGATGGACATCGCGCCGATCTGGCCGCCGATCTGGACATCGCCCACGGTATGGTAGTATGCAGGCGTGGGGATTCTTCTGCCGTGGGATTTTCTCCCATGTTGGGGAGGCGATGACGGCTTCGCCGGTAGACTTCACATTGACTTCGCCCGGGGCTGAGGATGCCTCGACGTCTGAGCCGGACTCCGAGCCGACCACTGTGGTGCCCAGAAGTGTCAAGTGGCACTACACCCGGTGCCTTGCCACCCATGGTCCGCTGTAGGAGCCAGAAATCACAATCCCAACACGTTTGGAAGGTTCACCTCCAGAAAAACCATGCGACTGGTCCCCGATGTGACCCCTATCTTGATCCATCTCACTATATATCTGGAGGTCTTGGTCAAATTTCCAGATCAATGGTTGGTTGGTGTGTGTGTGTGTGTGTGTGACCCTTGGAGTCACAGGGATCCGTTTGGATTATTCTTTGTTTTTGCTGCTACTGTAATTAGATTTGCATGGGGCACCGACGGTGCTGATGAGGCCGGTGCTAACAAAGACGCTCATCAGTCACCTGTGATACAGTTGGAGACGTCCAACTGCGTACCTGCATTTGTACTTTGAGAACCTAAGACCTAAGTATGGCAAAAGCTGTCTCATACGTTGGTTCCGCATTCCGTCTTGCTGCAGTAAAGGGCTAGTGCATCGGTTATTTACAGCCTTCGGCATGCCGCCGGCCACCAGCTCGAGCCCGCATTGGCAGGCAGCCTAATGATGCTTATTAACAGTGTTCCACAGTTCTATTTTCGTTCCAAGGCAGGGACAAGATCACCTCTTCTAGGCTGAAGCAGCTATATAATCCGGCACGTCTCTTTGATTCAACTCGCTTTTTCCTGTTCTCGCCATGGCCTAGTCTGAAGCAACCGGGGCAGGGCAGGCTGTCGAAACACCCGCGCGGAGAAACAAACCGTAGATTGAAGCCAACCGTAGATTGAAACCAATGGAAACCAACACAAGCCAGACGAAGCAAGACAATCCACAAAACCGGTACTACTTGGCCTTTTGCATGTTTTCCTTGTCAGATCTTTTTTTCGACCGTCTTGAGGAATTGCGAGTCGCACAAGATATTCTTTTTCACGTACAGAAGGCTTCAAAGCGACCGACGAATTTCTTGATCTGGCATGATTTGTCGTTTTTTCTCCAAACCGTTCGAAATGAAAGACCCAGAATGACATCGAACAACAATACCCTACATGTCTCAGTCCAATGGTTGTCTATTCTGATCCAGCGATCGACATGTCTCAGTCCAATCACCTTAGACGTAGAGAGGGGGGGGGTGGGGGGCGTCAGGCTGTCGAAAAATCCGCGCGGAGAGACAAACCGTAGGTTGAAACCAACACAAGCAATACTAACCAAAACAATCCACAAAACACGCCGGCAAGCCGGCGGATTCACCTTGAAACTTTCTTGAGCTTGGGGCCTGAACTTGACCTTACCTTTGGAGGCTTTGGAGGTTTTAGAAGTACCGTTTTTCACTTACCTGGCCTCTTAGGTTTCACTTAGGCCGGCGTGTGGCAAACCGCAACCAAATCAGTACGCATAATCTCAAGTGTGTCTGGCTTCATGCCAGCCCAGGGTGAGCCCGCAGAGTGCCCCCTGTGGACCCGTCGAACGGGGGTTTGTCGAACGTATCCCCGGCCCGGATACAGAGCAGCTCGCAGCGAGCGTAGGTGGCCTAGGCCAAAGTTACTTGCCAAGACCTGACGGATTATTGAATTCCAACGAGCAGTCTTCGGACAAGCCATGAGGTGACCACAGCGGTCAGCAGTAGGCAGCCTTCGGGCACGCCACCACGTGGTCGCAGCGACCAAAGCTTGTTCAAGGCTCAGTGGAACCTGTCAGGACCTTAACCCCCCGTCTCTCCCCTTACCCTTCCCCTCTTCGTCATTCGTCAGGTACACCCCTCTCCCTGGTGTGTCCCTGAACGCTTGCTCGTAGCTGGGAACATTTGTTCACATCCTTTTCTTTCCTCCTCTCTCTTTTTTTTCCCTCTTTCCCTCTCTCTCTCTCTTTCTTTGTTTTTCTCTTTCCTGTTTCCCCCTCCATCTTACTTGGGTGTCCCTGAATGCTTTCGTCATAGCTGGGAACCCTTCTTTTCTTCTCCTGGTGTGTCCTTGGACGCTTGTGTCGTAGCTGGGAACACCTTCTCATTCTTCTTTTTCTTTCCGCTCCTCTCTCCCTACCCCTCCCTGCCTTGCGCGCGATGCGTTCACACGCAAAAGAGGCGTTGCAACAGGTTTCAATGAGGTTTGGCTTCATCGGTTCTTGTCCCCTCCATTTGGTTCCCTGTTCAGCCTTCCCCTTTACACACTTTTGTTCCCCTCTTTTCTTTCACGTCCTCCTGTCTTCATGTCTTGGCATTTCACTACTTCTTTCTTTTGCGCGCACATCGGTCCCGGCCTTAGTGTGTACGCGCACATCTTCACGTACTTTTAACCCAGGTTTCAGGTCGCCCAGGCTTGATAAGGGTTCATTGTTTGACCCTGTGCACTTGTTTCCCTTTCATCGCTACCACGTACACTTTTGTCCTGTCTCGTCCTCTTTTCATGTCTTCGTCCTTTTGTCCGTGCGGCGCGCGCATGCATGCACATTCGCCCTCACCTTAGTTCTTCGCCTCTTTTTCGGGGAGGCGTGTGTGTGTGTGTGTGTAACCATTGGAGTCACAGGGATCCGTTTGTTTTTGCTGCCAATTAGCCAATTAGATATTAGATTTGCAGGGGGCACCGAGGGTGCTGATGAGACCGGTGCTAACAAAGACGCTCATCAGTCACCTGTGATACAGTTGGAGACGTCCAACTGCATACCTGCATTTGCACTTTGAGAGCCTAAGTATGGCAAAAACTGTCTCATACATTGGTTCCGCATTCCGTTTTGCTGCAGTAAAGGGCTAGTTCATCGGTTATTCACCTTGGAACTCTTACCTTTGGAGGCTTTGGAGGTTTTAGAACTTCCGTTTCCAATTTCCGTGGCCTCTTAGGTTTTCACTTAGGCCGGAGTGTGGCAAACCGCAACCAAATCAGTACGCATAATCTATCATAATCTCAAGTGTGTGAGAAAGATGTGCGTTCTGGCCACCCGGCCGCCCAACCGAAACGACTTCATCGCATGAGTCCGTCGATCTCCGTCGGACGCCTGGGACAGCATTCGCCAGCCATGTTTGCATGACAGATTGAAACTTTTTATAGGTAGCCTTCATCCATGGAATTGATTATATTTCCCTGCGACTTAACTAGTCTAATGATGTTTAATGGTTGAAACTCAACCAAAGGATTTATTTGTCAATGCTTGTCAGGTATGAGAAACTCATGGAAAATTCGTTTCTTTGAACCCAGGAAGTGCAACTACTCCTGCAAGTTCTGCTTCCACACGGCGAAGAGCAGTTTCTTCCTGCCTGAGACCGAAGAGGGAATGATGGAGTCAAAGGAGTGCCTCCGGCGCCTCAAAATGGCAGGCGGGATTAAATGGGATCAAACAAACAAAAAGACGAGAGACAGAGAGAGGGAGAGAGAGAGAGAGAGAAAGACCATACAGACTGCCTGAATTGCTCGGTTGCAGAAACATGTTCCATGTTTTTTTTTGTAGGCATGGAAAAACTAAACTTCAGTGGCGGGGAACCCTTCCTGCACGACAAGGCCAACGCCATACTGAGCGTGGGAGGAGAGAAGGGAAGAGGATGAACTCATCACTGTAGCAGTTGGGTGTGGCTGTTTTGGGGACACGTCAAGACCGAGTGTTTCATGTTGAATCGTGTGGACAGGTGCGGGGCGTTTCAAAGATGAGGACTCATGGCGGCTCATCAAGTAGGCATCAAGAACAACAACCATGTTTAGCATGGCTGCTTAGGCTTAGACATTAGGCTCTGAATGGTTGTGAGATGTCAGCGCTTTTGGAACAAGATTGCCCAAACAACGACTTTGAGGACCATCAGAATTAGATTGTTGTTCTTCAAAATGACTAAGTCTTACTAGGTGATGCCCAGTATCGTGAATGTACCCTGGCAATTATACGCAGTTCTTGGGAGAAAGTTTCACCTTTGTTAATCTCCATTTTGGGGGCACTTCGGAAATAAAGCTTCAGACGTTCTTTGGCGTTTTTTGGTCCCTTTTTTGGCGCCAAAAAACGGGCCACGGGGCCCAAAAGGAGTCTTCATGCTTTTCAAAGCCACGTGGTTCGCTCTCTTCGCTTCGTTGGGACCGATGCTCGAGACGCTCGGAGGCACTGGGAGAACTCTGCCGCTTTTGCAAGGTGGAGTTGGAGCTCCCGAGCGTCAGCTTCTCGGAGGTCTGATGGAGGGAGGGAGGGAGGGAGGGATTCGTGTGCGTCGGCTTCAACGAATGAAAGGTCAACCCAAACTCCATTTGAGGCTGCGTGGATGGGTGGGCCTTTTCTTGGCACAGGTCAGCGGAAAGACACATACATGCTATGTCACTATATCATACCAATATATATATATATATATAATATTATATCATACTTTAATAAGGGTTTTAATAAAACGTCTATGTCTCCCCCGTTTCTGGCCATGCTTTCCTCACCGTCTGCTCCTGTTCGTACGTATAAGCACGTGCCGCACGGTATCAGCATCGAATCGTGGCGGTCCGAGGCATCGTGTCCAACGGAAGCCTCATCAAGGAGAGCTGGATGAAGCGCTTTGGCACCTCGCCGAGCTTAACCGGGGGGCCGATGGGCGGGGTCATGGGGTGTCCGGAGACCGACGGGTATAGTTTTTCTTTTGGAGGTGTTGCCATGGTGGACATTTTTCTATTTCAACAGCAGACACGGTCCATTTTTACTTTCTCGGCTTCTTCACCCGATGTCAACGGGTGAGAAGTCAGATTTCGAGACATCCATGGCAGTGGGCCACTAGCCAGAATGGGGCGAGCAATCGCTTGTACACTGGAAATTCTTGTCGCTTGTACACTTGAAATTCTTGTCGCTTGTACACTTGACCGTTGTGAGCAAGGACGCTACTAGGGGCTCCTGGCATTGCTACTAGGAGCAAGGACGCTACTATGGGCTCCTGGCATTGCTACTAGGAGCAAATACTAGGGGCTCCTGGCATTGCTACTAGGAGCAAGCACGCTACTAGGGGCTCCTGGCATTGCTACTAGGAGCAAAGATGCTACTAGGGGCTCCTGGCATTGCTACTAGGAGCAAGGATGCTACTAGGGGCTCCTGGCATTGCTACTAGGAGCAAGGATGCTAGGTTTTGTTCTATAAGACGGATCGTTCTTGTTTTGGATGTTGCGATTTTTGGAACTTTGTCGGCGTGTCGGAAAGCGAACAGGACCTGCTTGGTTGTGGTGTTCCCAAGCTGTCACCCTCATGTTCCAGTAACGGGCTAATGCATGCCGCAGAGTCTGGGTGAGAAAGGCAATCAAAACGTGAGTGTGTGTGTGGGGGTGTAAAGATGTTGACCTTCTTCAATCTGCCAACCCTTTCAGCGCTTCAGAGTCACACTGTATGGTGGGCAACTGCAACCCCCCCCACCCCCACCACCCCCCACCCCAACCCACTCATTAGTTGCATGTGGAGTAGGCCCCACCCCGGAGCTAGGAAGCAGGTAAGTGCACAAGTGATTGATGCCCAGTGCGCAAGTGACGTAAGTGCGCAAGTGCCGTAAATCCCCAGTGCGCAAGTGATTGCCCCCAGAATGCCACACTACTTGTCCTTGAAGGAAGCCACAGAGTCTTTTTAGATTGAAGGTATGAGGAATCTGCATTGGGGATTCAAGAAGACGAGGGAAGGGTGGCTCCTGTGTTTTCAGCAACTTGAGCCAAGTTTGCGCCACCCGCATAAATCGGTCGCGGGATCTTGAACTCACATGGCTCTAAAGCTTAGAAAGACAGACAGGTCCAAAATTCAAAATGATCAGCTCGATTCGTCTTCCAAGACAGGAAGCTTCGTGGACATCTTGGCGATCTCCTGCGACTCCTTTGTGGAAGAGACCAATGTACGTGTAGGTCGTGGTCGTGGGGAACACTTGCGGAAGCTCGAGGAGATCAAGAAGTGGTGCGTCGAGTACAAGGCCGTGGCGAACACTTCGACTCCCATGCAGCCCCACCGTGTGACGACATGGACCGCTGGTTTCGATGTGTGAAGGGCTGTGAAAATAGAGAACCACAAGACTACTACTACGACGACGACGACGAGGACGACGACTGCTATTACTACTAATTGTTACTACCACTACTACTACTACTACTACTGCCACTGCTGCTGCTGCCACTGCTGCTACTGCTACTGCTGCTACTGCTACTGCTACTGCTACGGCTACTGCTGCTACTACTACTACTGCTGCTACTGCTGCTGCTGCTGCCACTGCTGCTACTGCTACTGCTACTGCTACTGCATGCTACTGCTACTGCTACTACAACAACAACAACTACCACCACCAATACTCCAATTGTGTTTGTCTCCGTGACTCTATTCAAACTCCCTGTGACTCCCTCGATTGTTTGCTAGGGAGGGAAAATTTTATTAAAGAGTCTAACATTGACATTAACTGAGATTGCTTATGGATGTTCCTGAGGACGGGAATATGAAACACAGGGTAGATCATATCTCACAAATATGGACATACTGTATACTGTATACTAGATTACTATAGGCATATCCGCCTACAAGGGAACAGCCACAAAACACCCGTCTTCTGAAGTCCCCCTACATTTGTGGCACTTAGTGTTGCCACCGAATTTCTGCACTCCATCTGCGGGACACGTCAGGTGGACTTCAAAATCAACAGTGTCATCAACGCTCTCAACGCTTATTGGGCAGCAGAAGCCGACCTGATCGTTGGGCGTGTTCGTTCGTACGTGGCATAGGTCGCCGATGCGAGGGGGCTTCCGAAGCTCGGTGCCGACGATCACGCAGAAAAAACCAAGTGGAGAATCCAAAACAAAGGTCTGCCACAAAGATGAATGTAACATAAATATACAGAAATGTTGGATTCCAAGCCACTTGCAAATGGTCCTGGGATACGAAGTTTCTGCCAGTTTCCTTGACTATGTATCTTCTCATGTGCCTGACTAGTCTGAGGTTGATGAGGACATGTCCGAGCACATCGAACGTTTGCAGCCCAAGCGTTGGAAGGTTTTCCAATGCTTGCTGATCGAGGGCGAGAACGCAGGGGAAGAGGCGATTCGCGACGCTCGATCACTGACGATCTCTGATGAACAGTGTCCTGGAGAGAAGACGATAGGTCCGAGCTGCGGAAACCACTTGCCACGGGCTGTTGAATTTTGGTTGTTGGGTGAAACGAAGGTCAACCTGCTTGAGTGCTGGTTGCGAGCACACGCGTATCTCACGTAGTAGCTGGCTTTGGTGGGTCGTGACACGTCCTGGTACAGTACCTTGGGCATTGGACACAATCTTGATTTGATTCTATGGTTGCCATGGCTAGAACATGCTAGAACAGTGTCACCTGTCTTCAATTACACAAGCATGGAACAACGGTTTTGTAGGTGCAACTAGCTTCTGACAAGACATGCTCCCTTCTTAGCTTTGCGCTTTGGGCAACTTTGCGCTTCAAAACAGCTAAAAGCTCGGCTTCTGGAGGTTGGCGCTTCGCTCCTCCCCCCTAAGAAGCTCCGGGCGGTCGGGCGCCGGCGGTCAAATGCGAACGCAGCTCATGAAGACCCGCGGTTCACCGGTTGTGGGACGATCGCCGTCCTTCCGCTGTTCGCTTAGACCGCTGAAGCAAGGTTCCAGTCCTTTCTGGAACGTCACAAAGCAGTGTCCGTGTTGGTCCCAGAGAGCAACCTGGAAGGATAAACAGAGACGGTGGGAGCGCCGTCGCCGGAGGTCATTGGGTGTTTCGATTTCGTCAAATGGCGGTCTTCTGAAGAGCTTGGGACTTCGTAGATCGCGTTTGCTTTAGGGCTTTAGGGTGGCTGTTCAACTTGACAGAACGTGCAATCCAACAAGTATGGGAACCTTTGGACTGATGACCAGCTCAACGGTGGGCTTGGGTCACTCTGCTTCAAGGTTGCAAGGGCGATCTGATTGGCTCCTTTGTTGGCCTTGGAACCATTAGGGCCATGGCACAGAGGCAGCTGTAGGAAATCCCCAGATCATCCCAGATCTACATCCAACCAGAAGAACCCAATGAGAAGAAAATGAAGAAACTCCTTCCTTGTCACCTCCGGATTGTACAGGTAATGATGCCATGATGAACTCGTACCTGATCTTGGATGAGAAGCTTTGCTCCTTGGGCACGTCAGCGGGCACCCGGGTCGTTGAACACCACGAGCGTTTTGCGGGGCACAACCAGTCGGACCGGCCACCCGAAATCAACCACCGTGTCGGTGGTAGTGCGTTGGACATCGGTGGTTGGTCAATCGTATGAGTCCGTTGTTTGGGTGCGGCTTCGGCGAGCCTCAAAAAGCGCCATGTATCATTCAGGCCTGTAAATTCATGAACAGAAGGTGACTCGGTGAGGGGATGTGGAAGCTGATAAGATAAAATCATTAGGCGTATGCAACATGATTCAAGAGTGGTTTGGGGTTCAGGTTGATCATAATTCTTGTTTCTCTACCCACCACAATCCTGGTCTCAGTGGAACTGCCAGACAGTTTGAATTGAGGCTTCCTGAATTGTACTTCGGGTGGGAAGAAGCCAAGTGCTTCCATCCGCGATGTGGAGGTGGAGGTGGCCTTGCGTCAGGCACGTTGGATCCGCGATTGGATCGGAGCAGAAACGGATCCGCCTTTGATCCCCAGCAGTAGCTGCGTGTGAAACTCGGATGAAGGGCAGGGCCACGATGTATCATGTTGGAACTTGCAAGATGTACTGTATGGCTTGGGTATGAGGCAGTGGATGATTGAGACCTTGGCGTTGTTTCGTTTGTTAAAAGATGATACAACGAGGTAACGACGGGACCTGGCAGGGTTTCGGTGTTGTGAACGCGCAATCTGCCAGGGTGGTGGTTTCATTTGAACGCTCAAAGCCCAGAAACCCAGCAGCGCCCCGCGAAGCGGAGGCCGGCTTCGATGCGGAGATGTTCGTGAAGCGCGGAGGGGTCTATGATTGGACCAAGCAAAGAGACATCGAGGATCTGGGCGAGGAGCGGTGGACTGGGTGGACCTACACGGTGGACCCAGTGGGTGGACCGGGGGTGAAGCTCCAAAGATGTTGGTTAGTTGCCATGAAACTTGCAGGTGCAGGCGGAAAACTCTCCCCCTTGGGGTTACGACACACTGGGCTTTCTGAAGCCCCGAACCCACGACGTCGGGTGGCCCGGCAGAGTTCCGGCGACCCAAACACCCAAGTGTTGGAGGACCCGACGACGCGCGACAGGACATGATGGATGTGAAGACACAGACGGCGGGAACCTTGGTGAAGAAGATGTACAAGGGCCCCCGCGGCGTGCTAGGGGATCGCGAAAGCCGCGATGAATGTAGCTGGATGCTTGCAGTTGCTTGGCTGCCTATAAAGGTGACATGTTTCACAAGCAAACACGATCTATCACGATCTCAGAAGTTGCAGTTGACTCAGCTGACTGGTGCTTAGTAGGGAATAAGAGAATGACCCCTCGCCATGAATACCTCGAATTCATTCCTTAATTCCTCACGGAGCACCAGTCAGTTTGCGACACAGTCATGTTTAGTGCTTCTGGGCCCAGAGCCTTTGAGATGCCACGTGATGCGCCGGTCCCACATGGTCCCAAGCTGCTCTATGTCCTTTTTGGTGTCGACAGGTGTATGGTGGCCATAACATGCCATAACTAAGAACATCGTAGAACCCGTACAAAGCTAAGCCCCTTTGAAGAGGTGTGCACCTCCTTGCAGTAACCTTCAGTGTGTATTTTCATCCTGGCATGGACGTCCGAAAGCCATACACCCACCATATTATCATATCCTACAAATTCGCATCCCACTGGCAGCCTCAGGGCGCAGTTGCATGTGGGGCCCTGAGCCTTTGCCTACTTGCCATCCTCCGAACGAGATGAGAAAGAGCTGGCGGAAGATCAGGGAAGATGAGAGGATTTCCTGATGTGGCGAAAGACGAAGATGTACATAGCCATTCACAGCCATAACTGTTGAATGCTGTCGATTTGATCTGAAGATTTCAGCAATGGAGCCTTTGGATCAAGTCGAATACATGTGCAGGGTGGTGTTGAGACCTGTGTGACTGCTCAGGCGGGGTCTCTGGCTGAGCACACTCTGTTCGATTTGTTCGATTTCCCGAGCAAAGGCGGTCGGCCCATTGGGATCCAAGCGCGCGACTTGGAGATCCCCAGAGACGTCCAGTGTTTCAGCCACCCTGCTGACCGAATCTGTTGGTGCTTTCACTTTTTCAGCACCGGGTGCTCTCCGAGTTCCCACTCCAATCGCTGCCCCCCCCAACGCGGCGGCGACGTCTCAAGCGGCCGGAGATCCGGGTCTGTACAGGGTGCCTAAAGCTTGGGGATCCAGTTTGTACCCTTGTCATTAGTAGGGACAGTTTTTTTTAAACTTAGGTGATGGAAGCCCCTTACTTTTGGGCACCAAAGGCCCACAGATGCTACCAAGATTGCGGCTTCGCTGTGCTGCGCGGCCTGGAAAACAAATACGGGGTGCCCTTTGTACATTGATTGATGCAGGTATGCTGATGCGTTTGAACAGAGATTTTTAATTACCGTTCTTTGGCTGTGCCAACGCCTTGCAATAAGCCCGTCCGGACCAGGTCGGCGCGAGGTATGGCTGGACAAAAAAATGCTGATGCGTTTGGAGTAGTCCGGGCACGCCAGCGCTTTAGGCGCTTTACTTACAGCGACTTTGAGAAGTACTTCCGCAAGGTGCGAGGAACGGTGGAGATCTGTGATTTGTTGGTGTTTTCTTGAGGTCAATCCGCTAGCACTTCTCTTTGCCTCTTCTCCTGAAGATTGGCCCTCAATGTAAGACGGTTAGATGACAATCAGTCAGTCAACAATTATCAGTCAAGATGGCATTGCTATCCTGAAGTTGGGAAGCGCTCCTGGAGCACTCCCACCAGTATGGGCTTGTGTCGACCGCTCCAAAAGTCCGTAGCTTGGCCCAAAAAGTCGACCCGCACGAATGACCATCTCATGGCGTTCCATAGATCCATCTGTCCCATGATGGTAAAGGATTTTTGGGCCAAGCTGTGAGAACACCATGGTCCTATGGATGTTTGTCTTTCTGACCGGTCCCATGGTCCATGGTGTCGTCGTAGATGTAAAGATTGAAGGACAGGACTTTTTCCGCCAGGCCGTGGTGGCGGCGACGCCACGGCCGCCCAGCAATCAAAACCGATCTGCTTGGGAGCCCGGAGGGTGCGAAGGAAGGTGGTGATGAGGTTGGGGTGGTCTGGTGAGGCGCACGTTTGGAAGACATCAAGGTTCAAGAAATTCAGTTACGTCCACGCGGGCTCTTCCGTCCCAGTCCACGCGGGTCTTCATCATCGGCCCGGGCTTCGGGAATCAGCCGGGGCACCGAGCACGGTGACCTCGATTTGGAAAGATCTTCGATGCGAAAATGGGCGAAGACAGCGGCGTAGGCGGTGCACACAGCTGCGGGTAGGGGACTCCAATCCGACTAAAATGAATGAAAACACCCAGATCCGCCGTATCCAAATCTGAATGACGGTGTTCAGATGGAGAAAAGGACAAAAGGCTTGTGGCGAAGAAAGAACCTTGTGCAGTAGTTTGAAAAGAAAGGATCCATCCACAAAAACTCACATGAGAATAGATCATTGGCCTGGGTTTTCAGGTTCCAGTCTATGCAAGGTGTTGGGCAAGGTGAGTATTTGAAGAAGTGGAGACAGGAGAATTACTTTAGGATTGGGCAATCTTCCCAGTCCATCCGGTTTCGACGAGAGAGAGAGAGAGAGAGAGAGCACTGCATTTTTCTTGGTCCCTCAGCACTGCTGGGGCATAAAGCCGCCCAAGTGGTGATGAACATGCCTTTTTGTGCATTCTGGGGTTTGGTTGGGTTTTTCGCAGCAGTTTCATGTACGTTTGCAAGGGGCATCACGTGACACGCGGCGGTTATTTTAAGTCCTGAAAGGGAAGGATCATTCACATCCAGTTGGCCAGCTGGAGTCTGCCAGTGCGCCCTCGACTTCGCCAGGATCAATCCGCGGCAGAGCCGCATGGTTGAAGCTGCGGGGTATCAGGCATCCTGCAGAGCAGAAGTAAAATGGGTGAGGAGCAGCATAGTCCAGAGATCGTCCCGCCAAATCACCTCGTTTCGAAACGCATGGGCCAAGGAAGGGAAGGAAGCGAGGGGGTCTCCGGATGGTGGGTCCATGGCTCATGGCTGCAATATATGGTGACTCTAAGATATTCTAAGCATGCAAAGGCGATCAGGCCGAGGATTTGATGGAATTGAGCTGAGTATCATAGCGATAGAACCAGAAAAGACACATGCACTATGTTCCTGGTGTTGAGAAACATTACAGTATGTTCTTGATTCTTGTTTGTACCCTCCTGATCATATCATGATTATTGGATCTTAGCGGATTGACCCCGTTACTTTTCAGGTGCCCGGTCATCCAGTCATGGCTTTGTCCCACACCCATCAGTCACCCATCCCGGAAGAGTGCTGCACGTCTGGCAGATGCGCTTCTGCTTCAGCATTCCGAACCCAGAAGTGCCACATTTTCCAGTGGATCCCTATCTAGGCGGGGCCTCGTGAGGGAGGAGAGTTGATCTCTGGGTTGAGACATGTTGAATCTTGGAGTTCTAGGTGGAGTTGATGGAGCTATTGAATGGGAGCAGGACAGGTGAGAACTGAAGTCTCACATGGCTTGCTGGCTAGCGGCTAACTTCTTGCCGCATCAAAGATGTACGCACGTATAAATGGCAAGTAGTGGATGGATTTAGATCGTGGTTCTAAGTTCTTGGTTCAGGGATTGACGGGTGTGTCTTATCATAATTTTCGATGCGCAATGTCTTATTGCAGTTATATACTATATATATATATATATATTACATGTATACTTGTACAGAAAAACAATCCGAAGAGTTTCTGTATTTGAACAAAAACAGGCTTTCTCCCAAACCCAGCTGTGTTCTTTTCTGCGGATACTTTCTGTGGATGTCTCGGACGTCTCAACTCCCTTGTTCTGGTCGAAAAGGTGACTCCCGGACATCCGGCTTTGGGCGGCCCAATGGCGTAAACGTAGGTCCATAGAGGCCAGATGGGCGTGTTCTGCGATTTCAGATGGTTCAACTCCACAGATCAACAGATGGAGTTTAACATGGATCACCTCGTAGGCATGAACTTGCACTTTACCTTAAACTTGAACTCCTAAAATGTTGGCACGCAAGTTGCCTGCCGGGGATTCTTCTACTCTCCAAGCACTGCACCATCCCCCCCGATGGAGCACTCTCCCCGTCCTCGCCCGTCCGTCGTTGGGTCGTCCGTCGTTGGTCGTCAGAACAAGTGAAGTCCGAGATGGACGCGCCCGGCGACCCAACGAAGCATCCGGCCGATCCACCCTTCGTCCCGAACAGTTCAGCCGGTGCAGTTCAGGGTGTGCAGAAAACAGCCGGAGCGGATTTTCGGTGTTCAGACATGAGGCTGAGGTGGTTCAGTTTCAGGTTTCTTTGGTTCACGTTTTGATCACGAAAGCCAGCCGATAGGCTAGGCTGAAGTTTTGGGGAGCGAACGAAGTGAGTAAAGGGGGTGTGGGGGGGATGCCACAGAGCCAATTTCGGAGAGCTAACCCAGAGCCCGGTGAAGGAGAGCGAAAAAAGAGGTGGCCAGGAGGTAGTGAAAATGAGTGGTTTTTTGGGTGTGATGCAAGTGATGTAATTGACTGCGAGTGAGTAGTGCATCATCAGCATCATGAGGGGCTCAGGAGGCAACGTAAACCGTCTTCTACTAGGGGTGGGAGTTCATAAGTGTCGGGACGCGAAAAGTGGTTGAAACTCCTCCAGGAAGGGAGATGTGCGTCTCTGCCGGCCATTGAAATAGTGTTCGACTAGGCGTGACAAGGGAGGTGTGTGTCTCTGAAGACACTGTGTGATCTGTGAGGACCGGAGGGGGAACAGAATGCTGTAGGTGGAAGACAGACATAGCGGAGGAGGATGGGTAGGTCGGAAAAGAGGGCTTGCAAGAAATCTTGGAGTTGCTTGGGGGGTGCCCTTTTTAATGGTGAAGACGCCTGTCAACCATACGCAAAAGGGCACCCCATATGGGTTGCAAGTTCATGTAATGATGCGGAGGGCAGGAGAGAGAACAGAATGCAGCGGGCAAGCTTTGAATTGCTTGGGGGTGCCCTTTTTTACGGTGAAGAGGCCTAGTTGTCAGACTCAAAAGGGCACCTCACATGGGGTGGGAGTTCATGTGGATGAGACCAGCATAGCGGAGGAGGACGCGATAGGATGTGACCCACCGAGGAACATAATGCAGCGAGCAAGCTTTGAGTTGCTTGGGGGTGCCCTTTTTTATGGTGAAGAGGCCTGTTGACCAGACGCAAAAGGGTACCCCATACGGAGTGGCAGTTCATGCGCAGGATAGGCATAGTGGGGATGTGATAGGAAAAGAAGGTGGGGAGCTCACCACGGATCTCGCATTCACCCCCCCAATGACCATATTGATATCGGCTGGCTTTCGTCCCCTCCCTTCTCAGGTATTTCTTTCATATACACCCCGACAAGATGAACATGGAACCTGATGGACCCGCAAGGAAGACTAGCTTCCTCCAGCTGCACCAGCGGTTTTTAGAAAAAGTGATGTTCCATATTGTTCCATGTTCATCTTCCAGTCTTGCAGGGTGAGCTCGTTATTGTTATTGTTATATGTTTTAAACACATCTTAAAGATGGGCTTGTCTGACAGGGTCCGCCACACGTTTTTTGGCTGAACATTGAACAATCGAACCATCTCTCGAGGTTCAGACCCCACGTCGTGATGGGCGCCTCCAAAGGCGGGATTGACCGGGCAGAGAAGGTGATGAACAAAGCGATTGCCAAAGAATAGAATGTGATCCCCAAATCATTTGCTTTAGGAGGTCGTACAAACCTTATAGGATTTGAAAACATTGTTTTTTTCATAAATTCTTCTACCCCGGAAAGGTGGAGGAACCCCCACATCTCCCGAGGCAATCCCTTTATGTGCTTCCAGGTGGAGTCTACATCATCGGCCTTTGGCGGCGTGGCTACTGGCGAGGGCATGGTGCCCCTGCCGGCCGCGTGACCGGCGACACCGGTTTCTTAGGCCAATTTCCCGAGCCCACCGGAAAGACTCTTGCTGGGTCAAAACGCTGCTTTTGTAAATTCTTATATAGAATCAATCTGTACACGAAAAGTTTTTTCTCCTTGCAGCTGAGGGACACCGACAGATACTGCGAGTTGTCCGACAGATAGCGCCTGTTGGAGGGATCAATTAGAATAGAGAAAATGTAGCGATGTTGTCATGGTGTTGTGGTTAAGTGTAGTGCAGTGGTGTGTGATGAAGCGTTTATGTGGTGATGAACTGCAGTGCGGTGGTGTGTGCAGTGTTTTGAAGTGTAACCTGGTGAACTGAGTAACTCTGGTGGGGTCACTTTGTGGCTTCAGCCAAGCGGGCGACGGCTTCGACACGCCTGCCAGCTACGCTGCAAACGACATTCCAACAATGAACCTGCCTCGCCCCCACCTGGCTACCTTTCCTTGACTCCCTCCCTCATGCAAGTTTCAAGTGTGGAGTGACATGTACCGTAGACTAAACAAGACTGTTGATTAACACAGAATCGTTTTACATCTTCAGACACCAGAGGGTTTTATTCATCAACCGTCTACAACATGTTCTGTACACACACTTCAACTCATGGGATCCCTGGGAGACCATTTTCCTTTGCCAACAGCTGGGCCCATCCAGTCGCTATAGCGAGGCCCACCGTGTTAATCAACGCGCAGGGAGCCCAAGGAGCGACCAGACCAGCCTCGTCATCCGAGACCGGAGACTCGGTCCGACTCGGTGGTTCCGGAAAAGCGAATGCCAAGGGGACCGTCCTGGCTGGACTACCCCACACCTATGGGCGCACCCAGACACCCCGACAGGATGGTCCAGTTATAGCTTGATTTGGCTCGCAGCCATTCTTGGAATGCGAAACCCTTTTGGCGGATTGGGTGGGATGTGGTGGGACACCCCAAAGGTCGGGGGAGACCAAAGGACTCGCATATTGCATCCCAAAAGGAGCTCAAGCCAGAGTTCGACGTTGTTCATTCGAAATGGCTAATTGCCTCTTAATATTGAAAAGGTTTTAAACGTCCAAATGGGGGGGTTTTACAAACCAAGAGTCTACATTACAGAGTTCACACCGCGCGCCTGCCTGCCGCCGCGTGCGGGCCATGCATGCCCAGGCACCCCACGTGTCGCCAGTTGCCGCAGGCGCGGTGTTTCATAATCCGATGTGTTGGCGTTCTCACCAGTTGCAATCTCACTAGTGAGAACCACTAGAGGGATTCTTAGATGGCACAGGCGAACCCATTGTCAAGGGTAGGTGGTTGCCACCATTGCTTTTGCTACGAGTGCAGCCTCTGAATTATATATATATATATACATATTAATATGTGTTGGATTGTGTTGGCACGTGTAGGCCGTTGTAGAAGAACCTTCCGATTTCAAGGATCAGATCTTGGGGACCTCTCTTTGCCATGGATTCTGAACCAAAAACACACCAGACATGCCGCGGATTTGGTTCCGCCTTCGTCGTCTCCGCCAGGAGGCGAATGTGGTGATCGCTGTGGGCTCCAACGATGAGGTCTATCCCATCCAACGGCCTGAGCTCGAGGCGAATTCCGGACCGCGCCGAAGAACGTTGTGGTCGTTCGCTGGGCATGTTTGGATCATGTGCTTTTTTGTCCTCAAGGATGTGAGGATTTGTATACTGGTGAGTTATATACTATGTAGTGTTGAGTCTAGGGCAGCGTAGTAGCTTTAGAAGGGTGGTTTGTGATCTAATCTCTGACGATCTCAGCCAGGAGATCATGAAGACCGGTGGAATGAACAAGACCTTCCTCTACTTCACCGCCGACAGTGGGCGTCTGCCCTCCGGGCAAATCTCGCGGCAAGGGGACACCCACAATCAGGTGCTGCCCCGCGGTGTTGCGCGGTGTTTGGCGCGTGAAAACGGTGGGCTGGAGGGAGTGCAACTTTTGAGCTCAAAACGCAACTTACATCGTTTGGAAGCACGATTGACTTACTAGATTCAGAGCATTTGGTTGTGGGACAGTGAAATAGTGTAATATATATTGCTATATATTTGTATTTGTATTTTGTTTACAACAGTCAGTGGCATTAATTACAAGCAACTTCAAATCCTCAGGATCTCAAACGATTCTCACAACCTTCAATCCCGTTTGCGCATGCTCATTCCATCAAATGACTCTTTGCATGCGCAAAAAGGGTTTTTGTCGAAACTCTGGGTTTGCGGTGCCACAGATACTGTATCTACAAATGAAGGCTCATTACCAGGAATCTCCAGGCAGAGCAGCAGTTGTTGGCAATGGATCCATGAAACTTCTCAATCATCTCCATGTGATGACTGTGAGTTTTCCCATCGTTTCCACACCAGGCCACCCTTTTTTCTAGTTCCTCGGAGGAGTCCTTGCTGCACCATGACGTGCTGCCGCGCCTCATTGACTCCGTCCTCTGTCCCGAGGGCCCTGAGCCTTGGACCGATACCGGGAGCCCCGTTCGATCCGGCAGACTCCAACGACCGAAGGCGACGTCGACGTCGAGGGCGACGTCACCACGCCATGTCGATGTGCCCGACCGTCATGGAACGAAATGACGTTGAGAGAAGGTGAGAGTGGAACACCAGGGAGGAGGTAGGTGTTGGCCGGTGTGGGCGCGCAAGGGAGAAAGCCTGAGACGTTTAAATACGTTTAACGAGCCTTTCTGCTGGCAAACATGAATGATGAACATTTGATGTTCCATTGTGCAAGGGGCAAAGGTTCAGTGTGGCATAGCTAACGGATTGCTCAGAAAATGGTGATCAAGGACCAGGGTTGGTCACCAGCGTACGATCCGCTACGGTGCGGCTGTAGGAGAGCTCAAGAAACACGAACAGAGATCGAGCATATCAAAGTATTCTCTCTGGGCACGTGCGGCACATGTGTTTATATAGTGCCTTCTTGAAACATGATATATACCCTCCAACAATAAATGGACGTGGATGACATAGTCGATGGCATGGTCCCTTGGAAAGACCATGGCATGGTCCAAGAAACCAGGTTCTCCACTTCTATGTTTGTTGGAGGCTCCACGTCATCAAACCCTCCCCCCCCGGCCTTACCAGAATGTCAGGGGGGAAGCCCTCGTCAACCGTCTACGTAGTGTACACTTGATTCATACCCCCCCATTTTGGGATTGAAGAACCCTCTCCATATGAAGGTGATGCATTATGTTTTGTGAAAAACATGATGCATTCAAGCTGAGGTTCATTCATTTGTTTCGTTTTAAAACCCCCTTTACGGCCCGGCACCTGAAACCGAGACCGATTCAGCCGCGAACGACCTTCGGAACTCCGGCACCCCAGGAGATGCACTTCATCCGGACCTGGAAAGAAAGGCAGGGCCACTGGCGGTCCGGCGTGGTGGAATGTAGACGATCGCTGCGCTTTTTGAAGCGAAGATGGGTTTGTTCGGGTACGACTCATGAAGGATATGGCACCTTTGGATGACAAGGTTGTCTAACGTCCTTTGGAGCACCAGGATTGGTCCTTTTCATAAAGCTATGAGGATGCTTCAATTTGTAGATGGAGAACAGCGCCAAGGGATGCAGCGCACCAATGAAACCCCCTGTAGAGTCGAATTGGGAAGCTCCTGTATTGCTCATTCTATCATGATTAAGTAAGCAGGTACTATTGACCTTCTTAACTATACCAACCTTGTTTGACTGTAGCTATCAAGCTCAACGCCTGTCTTTCTACACCAATGCACCCCGACAGGCTCTCGGTGGAGCGCAACAATGCGGAGCTGTGGTTAGGCGTGGATCGATACGAAGCCGAGTGTCTCAAGAGACTCAAGAGAGGGAGACCCCAAGCCACCACTGGTGATTAGGTAGGTTTATACAGTTAGAAACACATGGGTCCTGGGTGCCTTGTGAAACAACTCATGGCTGGAGGCACATCATGATATCATTACAGCATATAGTCCAACCGGTGACTATCCTGTTGTGTGTATGCAAGAAGCTGGAAGAGCAGAGCAACACGGAGAGCATACATTCATGATCGGACTTCCCACTGACTATATAGAGCCAAGCGCGCATCAAGCAGTTTCTGAACATGTTTCAAACAAGATTTCCCAACCAAACACAGTGTTCACTCGATTCCAACTGCCTGTTCTTTTTTCTTTTCGCGTCAGGCTTTAGCCCAGAGCAGGTCATGCGGCTCTGGTCCACCAACGGGCATCTTGGAAGAAAAGAGTCTCATATTAATCATACATATTTTGGAAGTCCAAGTACACCCCTTGTCCACTTAATTAAGAAGGAAAGAGATGGAAAGGAAAGAGACCCACATGGAACCCGATGGCATGGGCCAAACTGGAAGATGAACCATTTCCTCTACAACCCTGACGTGTTGATATGTTTTGAGGTTCTTCCAGGTGGGTGGAACCAGGAGCGTCGTCAGGGCGTTTCGCCCTTCCTTCCCGCGTCCCAAACATCTGGCTCGATTGCGGGCTTCATGGATGGCCACCGTGCTTGGAAGCTGCTTTGGTGGTCCTCCCAAAACAGCAGTCCATTAATTTAGGAGCAAATTCATGGTGCACACATTTACAAACTCCGTCAAAGAGCCCTTTTCGATGGATCAGGTGTGTCCACCAAACCCGCAGAAAAGGTTCTACTTTTGTGGCAAGGGACGCTTGTGTAAATAACGTCTCAGAGTCCAAGAGCCACCAGAGCCGCGTCAAAACATTGGTGCGTTTGGACTTGAATCAAGCACACCAACTTTTGGTTGACTTTCCAGCCCTAAAAGAACATGCACGCGCGACGCACGCCCAGTCCGGCTGCCGCGTTTAGGCACGGGCAACACTTGTTCGACGTGCACCCTGGCACAGAGGAGTATCGCATGGTGACCGCTGCCTTCAAGGAGTGCGCGGGGACGGATGGGGATGGGCTGCGCATCGAAGCTGGCGGTCTCCAATCCTAGCGTGCTGATATAATTCACAAAGAGAACTGGTCATTGGGATGTTGTTGACTGAACGTAGATGATCAAAGCTGAATTCTAAGAAGATTAGTGTAGTGGAAAAAAACAGTAAATACATGTAAAAACCACCTCTGAACTTAATGTGTTTAAATGTTGCGAATGAACAAGCAACATAATATACTATGCATTTTCCAAGTTTCCATTTGGTGAATATCACCTCCACGCTTGGAGGCTCTGCCGGTGGAACAGCAAGCGTACATCCTCTCGCCGCCGGAAACCTGGCTGCCGGTGCGCGCCCTGAGAGTGCGGGCACCTGGTGGCCCCGGGCCAAGATGGTACGGAAGGGGTGGGGTTTGAAGGCGTTTGTGTAGTGGATTTCGACCGAGAATCTTCGGCTTTATACTGACGTATGAACTGCGACCATGGTCGAGACTGAAGCTCGAAGGATCTCCCGTTCCTAAATGGCACAAGGTGGCTAGCTTGAAACCATGCTGACTGCTGACCCAAAAAGGGAGCAACCTCCCAAAACGCGGTCCAATAGTGACATGGGAGCAGCTGAATGTCAGACCATGTGGGTCGCTTAGAATGTCAGACGGAGAGTGAAGAGACTCCGTCGCCTCGTCGTGACCACCCGGTGCGACCCCCTCCACCCCCTCCACCGGGGTCGCAGAGCCGTCGGAGCTGAGAGCCGGAGAATCGCCGTCTCAGATTCAACGTGTGGAGAACGGACCACAAGGAGATGCATCATGGCGGGAAGCTCAGAGGGAGCTCCGATGGACTCTTCGAGTCGACCTCGAAACCACTCCGAAAGCGGTTTCGCGACGGTCGCCGTGCCACGGCCAACGGTCACGGGTTGGGACGTACGTGGCGTGCCTAAAGGCTGAATTGGAGAGAGGAAGGACGAAGTCATTTGACCCATTTTGCATGCGCTCTTTCATGGAGCCTTCTTCACAAGGCCAGATCATAAGATGTTATAAGTAGTGTTGAACAACCCCTGATCAGCAGCACAATTCCCGTGGTTGGTGATTCTTTTCGGTCTCGTTTGCACCTCGAGCTGTCAGGAAGCCTTACTACAAGTCGTTGGTAAGGCCAGGGCCCCTGGGCAGAGCGGCTGAAGAGGTTGATCAGAGAAAGCCACGAAACTCCGACAACATTTGAGCCAATTCTGCCGCGGTGTTAGCTGCAGTTGTGGCCTTGGCAGAGACACGTGGAGCACTTGTGGATTCCAAATCAAAGGAACAGGTTGATGGAGAGTGACCAATATTTTGAAGGGAACACAGCTAAACAACATCATGAATCATGATTGATTCATGCCCTTCGCTTTCGTTGAAGGTATGTGCACTCAAATTACCTCTTCTCATGTGACACCCACACCAGAGAAGCCTCCAAGCCGATGTTGGGGGACGTAACCGATGACGACCAGGTCCTTGGAAGACCAAGGGGTGGAGTTCGAGCCCGGAACCCACACGCTCCTTGGCCGGACGGTTCTCCCGGGAGGATGAAAGACGTGTCTTTTGGGTTCAAGAAAATCCACGATGGTCCCTTGCAATGTTGATTGGACATCCGAGGCACCAGCAAGAGTATGTTGCGCAACTGAGGGATGTCTTGAAACAAGTGTCGTGAAGCTCTGCCCAACTATGGAACAGATCCGTGGACTTCGCTTAGCGCAGTGGATCCCGGGATCCACTCTGTTACTGTTAGGCAATCAGTGGTTCCAAGGACTGTCCAAGGACTGTTCAGCCATGTTCAGCCGTTTGAGAACCCTTCCGATCGGTCACTGGGTGCGGATCCGATTCGCTGGACGCTGAGGTGTTGGGCCTTTCATGGATGCAACAACGAAGCGCTGGAGTTCGGTGCTCGGGACGTGGCGCAACGAGCCCGCGCTCGTGCCCGCGTTCGTTCGGTGCGAGGGGTGGTGCTGGTCTCAGCATGTCTCAGCAGCCACCCAACAGAGTGCAGTCTTTTTGGCACTGGAGATGGATGAGAGATTCCATAAGCTGTAAATATTGAGGAATTTCTATATTCAGTTTTTAAGGGCCATTCCATCATCAAATTCTTCGCTTTCTACGTTATATTTCACTTAATAATTTTAGCATTTCATGGTCATCACGGAATCAAGTCTGAGATTTCTCTCCGCGGCAGATTCGAGGGAAGCAGAGTGCGGCCGAAAACTGTATATATATATAGCGAAGATGTAGGAGAGGGTACAGAGGTTATGACAAAGGATACGGACATGTCCTAATAGCCTACCACCTATAATGATAACTAACAAATAAACGCGGGACCTTTTTGTAGGAATGTTGCATCAGGAAGGACCCTTTACAGACCATTTTCAGCGGATCATTCCCGAATCTGAATCACATCTGGCTCTCCCGTCTTTACATGTCTTTACCCCATGCGGTGGCGACCTGAAATGTGGGTTCACGCGCTTCAGGTCAATCATCAACAACCCGCTCTCGGGCTTCCAGCCATTGGCATCAGGCCACTTGTCTTGATCCAAGCGGTTTCATTTTTCATACCTTATCAGTCTCATGGGAACGTGGCTCCCGGAGATTCTAAAGGCATCCAATTCAAAGGATCAGTTTGTGTCTCTTTTATTGCTGAAGTTTCACCACGCTTTTCCTTGGATCGCCTCCATGTTCGCCAAGCTGCCAGGAAGCCGCAGTACAACGCTTTGGGGCTCTGGCACCTATTTTGCTGCCCGGAGATAAGTTTAGAGAAACGGGCCGGGACGCGTGGTACGGAATGCCCTGTGTGCTGAAACAGCTCCGTTTTGGGGAAGCCAGGCAGACGGCGGAAATTCAGGGTCTGTTGCGAAGTCGTGAGACAAGTGAAAAAACAGGACCTCACAGCACCCCAAAAGGCATCACATCCCATGTGTTATTCTTTTTGAATGGGAACGAGACACCTGTCTCTTTCGGGAACGAGACACCTGTCTCTCAGGCTCGAGACGCCAAGTACGTGGCTGATGGTGGCTTCTGTGGTACGCCTGACATGAACGGCAGTCGGAGGAGACCGGATGGACAGCCGCGACTCAGCTGAGTCGCGAAGGTGGCCGAACCTGGCATGACAAGTTGACAGATTTACATAGATTATCATAGATTTACATCCCTCAGCTTACAAAAACGACAGTGGAGACCCAATATGATATCATGCTTATTAGGCAAAACACTAACACGGTATGCCTTTACAACCCGCAGTTTTCAAACCTCCAAGTTTGGGTGGTTTTGCTTAATACAAGCTTTCGTGCTTGTCTCAGCACCTGGCAATCGCCCCACGGGAAGCTCTTCCGGGAAGCTCGGATTTTCTCCGCAGGATGCTGATGTGCCTGCTGATCATGGGAATGCCCTGCTTGGGGGATCCCACTCACAAGGCCACGTGCTCCGAGTCGCAGGGCGCCGCGTTTCTCTACTCCACTCGCAGGTTGGACCACACGGCCGTGCCACAGTGGTCCACGGCGGGTGTTTTCATGTTTTGTTTTTTTTCCGATTCGCAGATCTTGTCAGTTTTGGCCAAGAACGGGACCAAGTGCCAAGAAGTAAGTGCCAAATCGATTCCAAGGTGAGGTGGTCACAATGAGATATGCTGGGACAGTCCAAAAGAATGACTTCTTAGATTGTGCAACATCGGGTCAGAGAACTTAGTGTATATAAGTTGTTCCAAAATAAAATTAGTCTATATATAATTATAAATACATGTCCATCAATAATAGTACCCTTCGCAAAAAATGTCAGCTGGGGGCCTCAATCCAGCCAGGAACACAAGACTGTGATCAGACTGGTCTTCCGTGATCAGACTTTCTTCTCGGTACACCGGTGAACTGGTCATGGTCTCGGCACTCACAGGGCGTGCTGCCTTTCCGACACAAGCCGCCGCGCGGGGGCTAAGTGTCCATGACGACACGACCGTGGAAGGCGGCCAAGCAAATGCAGACTTGTGGTGATGACCTTTGCTCATCTACATGTAGGGTGAGACAATGACTTGGGATGACCCAACTAATGATTTGTTCATCCCCGCTTGAAATCAGACTTAAGATGCTTTAACTGCTGTGGGTCAAGCTATGCACTGCTCAGCTGCACTTAGTGCAGTGCGGCTTTGGTCAATGGACAGGTTGCTGATGCTCACATATCATTGACCTGCCAAGAATTTCTGAAGAACATAATAAGCTCGATTCCTGTGGAGGGCCAACGTGGGACAGCCATGTTCTCAACCAATTTGGCAGAGGCCAACAAAAGGGCCCAAATCTGGTGAGTCTGAACTTGGGTTGAAATCGCTCAAGTGCTGGTCGCGTCCTCCCAGGCATCGGTACCATAGCTCAGTGGATTGCCTTGCAAGCCCTGAAGTCATGGTGGTGCCTGGGCTGAGACGTTGAACCGTTGAACCTCACCGGGCTGGGACCGCGAACGAGCCCTTTTTCGGCGGACACATACCAACAACCTCTTGGCCACCCCGGACCTCTGGAACTTCCCGTTGATTGTGGGCCTCAACCATTATAGACATACCAACAACAAGTCTTTTTTTTTGCAACCGAATGTGCTCTGAACTGTTGAATCGCAAGGTTACCAACAGTTTTTTGGAGAAGAACCGTCAGCATTTGTCAGCCCGCTCTCCGGATGGGTTCTCACGCCGGATGGGGTTCAATACTGGCGAACTGATTTGGTGGGATCTCAAGACGAAGAATTTCGTCGAGCCGCGGCTCGAATGCATAGCACCCATTGTTTGCGTGATACGCAAGGCTTGTGGCTGTTTGAGATGGGACAAAGCCACTAACCTGGCCGGTTGGAATCCAAGAGGACTGGAGGATCCACTGAGCTGCAGGTTCTTCAGGCCAACGACTCCAACGACCACCAAAATAGTTGCCTTCTTTACGCTCAAGAGTCAGATGTCGATCGATTCTGTACTGCAGTGATCTTCACTTCAAACCTTTTGCTATACAAGTTAGGATTTTGATGGAATCACATGGGGCTTAGGGTGTCACCCAGGGTGTCGCCTGGTCTGTGTGGAGCGGTATGCGCTCCTCCGAGCGGCACCCCCGCTCTCAGATCCAGCAGTCCGGGGCAGCGATGCCCGCCTACGCCTCTTGGCCGACAAGCAAAGTGCTGGGAGGAGAGGAGCATTTGACGGGATTCTGATATATATATATATATACATTAAGGTAAATAGAACAGGTATGATCTCACATCCTATTTCGTTTGGAATCCAATTCCCCAGCGTTTTCCAAAGGGTGGTTGACTTCATCTTGGTGGAATTCTTTTTGGACGTTTCGAAGGACTACTGGGAGGGGAAAAAGCTGGTAAAAGGGGGGTTCTAGGGAGGATTTGTTGGTGTGTTGCTTGTTATGATTTTTGTGTGTTTTCCTTGCTGTTGATGTTTTATGTGTGGGGGGTTCTGGGTTTTTTGGGGTTCTAACTTTTCTGGGGCACATGGTTTTAAGATGAGGTGGCTGATTGTTGTTGCTGTTCTGTTTTGTTTCGGGGGTTGGGGTTCAATGTGTGTTCGTTGGTTTTGATGCGTTCTGGGGAGTTGTTAGGGGGTGGTTTAGGGTCTTAACTTTCACTTCATTGTTTGGATTGAATGAAGGGGATAATTGTTGAGGTGCCCTAAAGGGATAAAGTGTAAGTGTAATCCGTGTAGTTTCAAAATCAGCAAGAGCGATAAGACTATGAGCGTCAGCAGGGATGACAACGGAGACATCAAACTAGACACTGAAGCACATAGCATTTCCTTTTCGTGGAACCGCCAAGTTACGCCAGAAGACAAGGACAAAGAAAGCACTAACCGAATGATAAGCAATGTAATGCGCACACCAAGAAGTGGCAAAAAACAAACATCAATACAAGATATGGACTGATAAATAATTAGATATCTAAATAGATATTTAAATAAATAATCATAGTTTATTATATATATATAGTCATGACGGATAGGTGAAGATGAAGTTATATAATAAAATGGATGAACTGATAAAGAAACAGAATAGATGTAATAGCAATGTTGAATCAATACTAGAAATGTTAAAGAAGGTGGATGAGAAGAAGGAAAGCAAAGAAACCACCGACTAAAGAAAGTCAATGGGAAGACCTGTGGGAGACTTTGAAACAAACAGAAAGCAGTATCTGGAAATGTTGAATTCCAAAAGAATAAAACAACCGAAGGAGACCACCATACAATACTATAAGATTGACTGTGATGAGAACACGGAAACATACTCATAATGATATATTTTCTATGATAATATATTATTATGAAATTATTAGAATTACTTAGTGGAACAGGTAGTGTCGGTCGTGTTGCCCGTGAATTTGGTTTTAGTGTCATATCCTTGGATTTGAAGAACGCTAACATCAATGAAGATATATTACAATGGGACTATAAGAAGTATGACAAAGACTTTGACATAATTTGGGCAGCAGAGCAAAAACCATGGGAGTTAGAAAGATAGATTATGCGAGCAGCATTGTCAGGAAAACTATTGAAATCATTGACTATTTTCAACCGAGAGTGTTTTTCATAGAGAACCCCCAGACGGGACTTTTGAAGGAACAGGACTTTATGAAAGACTTTGATTACTATGATGTGGATTATTGTAAGTGTGAGTTCAGACGCTGTCGAACTAGGTTGACAGACTTTGCTCGACCGCAGGGCGGGCTTAAGATGCCAGAAAAGGCGCGCGGCCGTGGTCACTTCGGTGACCTTCCAATTCGCTTGTGTTTGATCCTTTGGTTCACTCACTCTACACGTAGTTCTTCGGACACTTCCTCTGTTTTGACATTGGTAGCGGAGCCCGAGCCCTTCCAGGGCGAGGGCTCCCGCTGCGGACTTCGCTTGAACGAGCTGAGCGCTCTGGACAAGACCTTGGTCACCTACCCCTTGCCGAGTTTGTTACGCTCCTCTCACCCGACCTCTTTGAACAACACCTTTGAAGGAGGGGCTACATCGTGTTCTTTGACCTCGGGGATGTCTCAAAAGAAAGGTCAACAGAAGGGGAAGGCCCAGGGCTCCGGAACCAGCTCGACCGAGGACACCTCCTACACTGATGTCCGTGACAGCTATTTGCCACTGTTCAGCGGTCAGCCTTCTGACTATCGTGAATGGCGCCAGCGAGTGCAGCTCTACTACCGGAAGATGACGCTGGCAAAGAAGGCAAGTGAGGGGGTCCTCAACATCGTTGGGAGCTTCAAGGGGGTGGTCTGGCGTTTGTTCGAAGATTGGCCTTTGGACCACTTCGACAAGGACGATGCCTTCGAGACCATGTTGAAGATACTGGACAGCAACTTCTCGTACGACCAACGAGTCCAGCTTCCTTCAGACTTCGAAGGATACTTCAACCTCCTCCAACGTGCTCCAGGTCAAACACTCCTGACCTATGTCAACGATCATGAGGAGGCCTACAGGAAACTCCTACAACATAAAGTATCCCTTCCTGAATCCGTTCAAGGGTGGCATCTGCTGCGTCGAGCCGCCTTGACGAAGGAACAACGACAGCTGGTCACACTGAAAGCGCCCACATTAGAGAAAGCCGCGATCATCGAAGCCCTCTATCTCCTGTTCGGCCAAGACTACAAGGCTGGCGGCTGGAATCATGATCGCAATAAGCGCTTCCAGAGGTGGGGCAATAGCAGTCGGGCCTATGCTGCACAAGATGAATGGTGGGAAGGTGAAGACTCAGGCTGGAACGATGAAACCGGCGACTATGAAGTCGATGAACAGGTGGCAGACTATGACTATGACTACGAGGAGGAGGAGTTCGACGCCGACGCTGCCTACTATGGTGAAGACCCCTGGCCAGAGGAGCCTGAGGAGACTGGCAGTCCAGAACGCCTTGCTGATGAGTACGACACGGCGTTCGCCTCCTACACCGATGCCAGGCGCAGGTTCAATGAGTTGAAGATGGCTCGAGGTTTCTTGCCAGTGGTCGCCCTCACGGACAACAACCAGCAACCTGTCATGGCCAACTCTTCATCCTCCTCGAGCCCCTCGCACTGGCAGAAGAAAGGAAAAGGCAAGGGCGGCAAGTCAAAAGGGAAAGGAAAACCAAGTGCCACCATCCGATATCCACCACAAGGTGCTGGCAAAAGCGATCCCAAGGGCAGAGCTAAGGCCAACGTGACCTGCCTCAGGTGTGGACAGCAGGGTCACTGGGCAGCCAACTGTCCCCAAAGCGCCTCAAAGGGCACTGGTCTCAAGCGCCCAGCCCCCACTGAGGGTATGGCGCAGGTTCTGGAGAAGGAGCAGGGCATGATCATCTTTGAAGAGCACAACGGGCAGCAACGCCCTGATTGTGTCATGTTGGATCCCGGTGCGAGTGCCTTCCTCTCAGGTTATGGTCCTTTCCGCCGCTTCCTGCAGCACCTGAAGGATGACTGCCAGTTCCCGATCGACAAGATCAAGATGACCCGTGGCAGACGCCGCTTCCAATTCGGCGGTGATGCAGCTTCCTGGTCGACTTGGAGTGCACATGTGCCTGTGTTCCTGGACGGTCGATATGGTACCGTACAGCTGTTCTTGCTACCAGGTCATACACCAATGCTATGTGGACGTCCCATCATCGAGGCCATGGGCATGACGATGGACTTTGCGCTTCGCAGGGTTCGCTTTGGATCTGGTGGCTGGCGACAGGCTACGCTTGGTCGGCAAGGTGAGTACCTTTTGTCACTCACCGATGAGCACTCCCTCGTTGAATATGACCCGGAGCAACCCGAGTACAGTCTCAAGACTGCTGAAGCCGATCTGGACCAGGAGGAGGACATTCCACTGGCAGTGTTTGAGGAGGAAGAGTCGGGCTTCTCTGTCACTGAGCCTGAAGCTGATCAGCACCACGCCCACACCAAAGCACTTCGGCGACATGATCTCAGGACCATGGACATCCACCTGAACACTCATTTGAATGAGCTCACAGCCTATGTCACCAAGCAACTTCATCCAGCAGAACCTCGACGAAAGCTGTGGGAGGTGTACTGCGGCGCCTCACGCACTTCTCCAGTGGCGGAGACTCTCGGCATGGAGGTTCGACAGTTTTCCTATGAGACTGGTTGGGACTTTAACAGGTTGGATCACCAGAGCGCCTTCCTGCAACTACAAGATGAAGAATGTCCTGACGAAGTTCTCTTGGCACCTGAGTGCAAGCTCTGGAGCATGATGCAATCCCTTGGAAGACGCACTCCGGCTCAACAGGAAGCCCTCCGTGCTGCTCGACAACATCGTCACGATCGTCACTTGATGTTCGTTCGAAGGGCCTATCTTGGACAAGTGCTCAATGGCCGCCATGGACACATTGAACAGCCCAAGCACGCGCTTTCCTGGCGCACTCGTGCCTTGAGGGACCTTCCCGGCCGTCGAGCTGACTTCGATCAATGTCGCTATGGGGCAGCC